CCCCAGCCCTCTGAGATCGTAGAAAACGTCGTTCGTGGGTATTAGGAACGACGCAAGTGAACCGGAAGATCTCGGCAGGAGCTCTCCAAGCAGCACGCGACCATACTCTCACTAGTCTCACCATTAATGCATCAGCTCTTTCTCTTCCCTTTACACCCTGTTTGCCTGCTTTAAACTTCAAGTGATAGTTTAAGGGAAACAAAACAAATGATGCCCAAATTTCCCCCAGATTTTGTCAGCCTGTGAAGGCTTTTAGCCCCAATATGTCGGCCTGTGATGTTTATCTCAGAGAACCAGTCTTCGAAACCTTTCTTCTTTTGACCGAAAGCTCAGGGTGCTGGTACCAAAAGCATAATAAAGAAGCGCCATGATGCAGTTTCACACTCAACCACAGTCGTACATCTCCTTGGGAGGGGGGGGGGGTATTATGATATACAAAGCTCAATAGATTTTTGGAAAATACCACCATCGAAATAGAGAAACAAAAGCAGCAACCCCCCACCAAGAACTGGAAATATGACTCGGAATTTTTTTTAATCATTATTATTGTTTTTTCCTTTCTTTGGCCGTTCTTGAAAGTCGAATATCTTTACTTATTAAAATTTTGTCCCAAGAGAAATGTCGACTCGGCTTCTATATTTGTGTGTGTCAATTTCTCAAACCGATAGCAGTCAGAGACCTACGCGTTCGTCCGTTTCTTATCTAGGGATGGACTCATGATCTAGAATGTTAGACCGTTTTGGGTTTTTTCCCCTTCTTTTCTGAGGAGCGCGGTGACCTCTTTACGTCCGAAGTGTCACACGGGGTGGGGGAGAGCAGTCAAAGTGGCAGACGTGAGGAAGGTTTAATCTTTTCCGGCTGTTTCGAAAGTAGAACGGGGAGCATCTCCAGCTCAACGCAAAATGAGTTCTCGGGACTTTTGGGGAAAAGCAGAGTTGTCATTGTGGGTGGTACTTGTACGAGTATAATATTTAAGAGTTAATGATCAGTGGTTTAGCTCGAGTTGAGTGTATTTGTTGAGGGTTGAATAGAAAGTGTTACTGGCAAGTTCTACTACATAATTTGTGTTTTACTCCCCTTTTGTTACTTTTTTTGTCTCTCATGCTCTTCCTCATAAATAAATGACTCTTGTCGTGTCTTTATCTCGATTCGTTTATTTAGTCGTATTAAGTGTTCACATAACATGTAATACTGTCTGTGTGTAAGTTTGACTATATCCAGTGTGACAACAAATGGCCTCTTTCTTTTGTCATTTTTAACTTTAGATTACTTGTCGTTATCAAGGTGTACTTGCATAACGACATGATCTGTTTATATTAGTCGGCAATTTTCTTATAAGGGTGCAATCAATAAACGTTTCAGTTTCAGCTCAGACGTTGCTTACAGTTTTCACACTTAACTGAGTTTTCTCTCCTGCTAGTTAGTATCGTTTCCTGTGGGCAGTACCTGGTTATTTTATGGTCATGTTATCTCAATCTTATCTTCTTTTTGTTTCTTTCCAGCCATGGGCCCGCTGTGTCTAGCGGCTGCCCAGTAGTGGTCAACGAGTGAAGAACTCAACCTCTCCCCGAGGTCTGGACATTCCAGGGAGGACTGACGTCAGGAACCCTCTCCTCCCTCCCTCATTCCCTCCTTCCTTCACCTCTAAAGGAAAGAACATTCCAAAACCAGGCAGACTCTCACACTCAACCTCGGAGAGGCGTCTGCGAAGTTAACAAGTCTCAAATTGCAACAGCCATTTCCCACAACCAAAGCGAAAAAAAATCCCAACATTCTCACCCAAAAGCGGACGAAGCTTTTTGAAGAATAGGCTCTATCCCCTTCCCTGCAGCGCTTGGAAGTATCAAGTGACCACCACAGTCGTTGGCTCCTTCTTATCAAATTCCAGCTCCACACGTGTTTGACCGAAGGTCATTTCGCATTTGTGTTTATACAGAATCAGAATCAGGTCTTTCTTCAGTGCCTACGCCCGTCAACTGTCCAGATTTAATCGACGCTGCCGCACCAGAGCATCTGAGTGAGCGCTTGAGTGACAGACGCTCAGAAATCTGAGTCCTTTCAGCGATTAGGAATCCTGAGAGTGGAGTGAAGTAGAGCGCGTCTCACGCCGTTTATCTTTCATCATACCCCATCTCTGTACACGTGGGGCTGCGACTGTTGCAGTGTTTGTTAGCCTGGGTACTTCTCACTCACTAACGCCTACCCCCCGCCTGAGTTCACGTACGCACTGACGCGCAAACGTACAAACAAACACATATCTCCTGGGTTTTCGTGCGTGGCACTGTGTGGAGGAGTGAGTAAGTAAACAAGAGACAAGAGTTGTCAAGCATTTTGTGGTCGGCAGGAGATGTGACCAAGCTGGAAAGCACGCGCGTTTGGGGTTCCATTCTCGCCCGAAACGATAGAAGCTCTCGCAGGTGAGTTGTGTATAGATTGCTTGTTTTGTTTTAATATGGGTACCCCAACAGGCACGCGTTTACGTCAGTGTTTGTGGGTACTTAAGTGTTTGTGAGTAATCATATCTGTGTGTTTGTGAATGTCTGTTTGAGGAAGGAGATATTAGGACGCCACGACTACCTTCTCATTTTGACAGGTTTGGCTTTGGGCGATATTTACAATATAGAGAAGAAGCGAGTGTTTGTCTGTGTGGCAAGGAACAAGAAAAAGAGCGGCAGAGATAGAGATAGAGATAATGAGAGAGAGAGGAGGGGGAGAAAGAGTGAGAGAGAGAAGGGGAATAAGGAAAGAGATACGGCAATGAGGAGCGGATGGTGGTGGAGAGCTTGATGTTTCAGAACGGAAAGGGGTCGAAAATTGTGTAAATACATTATGTGTGCCTTTGTCTGACTTTTACTCGCCAAACTTCTCAAACATTTCATACGCAAAAACATTAGAGGAACAAAACCGTCTGAGTTTGTTCGTGTTTGCTCGTTGTAAAGTCGAACGAGTAATTCAACAATGGTTAGATCTAGCGAAATAAGTACCCAGTCCCTTCCTTTCCTCTTCCATCTTCTCCATTCCATCATCACTACCCTACCCAAAAACCACTACATGTCCGCTTGGGGCAGAAAAGATAGCTGGCATTAGTGCGTGTGCATGCTCGCTCACTCTTCACGCTGAGGTCAAGCTGTCGGGGCGCGAATGCCCCAATCTGCGTGAGTAAACAACGTCGTGTCGTGTTTACAAAGGAGAATTCCAAATCGCATTGTGCTGGGGTGCGCGTGCGTTTATCCTGGTGCGAAAGGCTCACCCGTGAGTGATATACGGCTGGAAGGAATGAAGGTCCACTCATCAGGTGCACCAGCTTACCTGGACAAGGCCATGGGTATCCTCGGGTTTCTTATTATGGAGAAGGACAGAGAGAGAGAGAGAGAGAGAGAGAGAG